CGATTAAACAGTAAAAAAAACAATTAGGTTAAAACTAAATCTAAAATTGATTTTTAATAAGTCGTGAGCTGTCATGAGTTTCGTGTCTGTTGTTGCAGTAGACCACGCATAGCCTTCACCGGGTTCTTCTGTTATTTGCTGTGTTAACTCGTTGTGTTAACGTTTCCTAGGGAAGGAACCCCTCCTTTTCCATATTGTCAGATGCCAATGGTTAATGTTGTGTTGTCTGTGCCACTTGGTTTATACTACTATAGGTAATTTCGTTTGAAACCCTTCTCTTGTTGCCCCTTAACGCGTCTAAACTGAAAACAGATCCTCGCACTTAAATATTCCCCCCTCATTCTTTTGACACCTCCAAATTTAGCACCGATTTTAGCTGAAAGAATACTATTGCTTTTAGACAAAAAAAATATTGTTCAGAACCGTATATGTGGACATGTTTATGATCACAATATGAAATTATGGGTTGAAAAAATTGATGATTCTTCTGAACCAAACTTGAATTGGGAGTGTTCACTTAAACCTATCAGAATTGCCATCAGACCAAGGTCCTTTATAGCGCAACTCCTTGCTTGCTGCGTTACATCAACCCCTCATTACTACAAATTGCATATTTCGAAAGGAGAAGCGGCAACAGCTGTCAGTGTACTCATGGGCTATGGGCCTACATGACTCATGAAGTCAAACTATAAAAGTGGTAGGGCAATGTGATAAAATTTTATGCAAAATTTCGATGGGAAAAGTGAGTGTAAGAGACAAATAGGTGTGCGTGTGTGTGTGTATTGTAACGTAAAAGGAGTTAACGTGACGAATAATTATGGGTAGTAGATTTGATGATTAGATTCATCGGGTGCTCATAAGTCGTAACTACAAGTAATTATAACACTCTGAAGATTACTATAAGTCTAACACATAAAATAAAATCTTCAATGGCCGCCTGCTTATTCGTTGCTCTGTAACATTTCAACTATTGAATACCCACATATTAAAGAATATATTGCCTTTTATAAACGCCGGAGAACCTAATATAGATCACCGCCTCGAAGGGTTCCATTCTGCTGTCCATATCTGCGTTGTGCCGGATACGTCTGTAATCCCTTGGTAATCAAACCCGTTGTTAAACAATGGACGTCTATTCTCTTTGACAGGATAAGGCTCGGGAACGTTTTAGCTAGCCGTTGCCCAGCAATGCGTCACTATATACATATATTCTCTCGATCACGGTGACCGAGCTGCCTAAGGCATGATATCTCTCCGCCCGCTCAAATATTGGGATTGTGGGTTCGAATCCCACTTGAGGCATGCATGTCTGTGTGCATTTATTCTGTGCCTGTGCTGTCCTATATGTGCAGGTAGCGGCCTTTAGAAGGGCTGATCCTCCGTCCAAGGAGTCCTACCTACTGTGTGAAACATTAAGAAAATTCAAAAGAGGCCAAGGCCCAAGAAAAAGGCTGTAGATCCATGGATGGATGTTTGGATGGATGGATTGACAGACAGACGTATATATGAAAATGGGGAAAATATTAAAGTGTACTTAAAAATCAATCAAAAAAATAATGACAGAAATGAATTCATCTAGCTCGGGGTTACGTAATAGCGATGGGGGTTTTTGAACATGGCAGTGCAGTTTTGGTTCTCATAAGATGATGCAAACTCCTCCACTGGCTATGCAACTTTTGGCTTCTCAAGAAGGAGGCAGTTTAATGGAGTAGGTTCGATTTTGCTTGCGAGAAGAAACGCGAAAATGGTACGGCCGAATTGAGGAAGCGCAGCTGCAACAGGGGAAGTCCCTAGTCCTCCTCCTGATTAGCCGAGGTCCAGTCTGAATCTGAATGGAGTACAATGTGTAACGCTGTGCTACACTGCCAGGTTTCTCGGCGACTGGAAGGAATATGTGTCAGACTGTGTAGTAGAGGGAAAGAAGAAATTGCTTGCACCACGCTGTGTGATGAATTACGAGACAGTTTCATGGATTAGGGTACAGCCTTCCTCTGGTGTCGCTACAATTAACATCGCTTTAAGGCTGTGGGCTACTGTCACCATTCAAAATCATTCGAAAATATCTCTCTCGTATTGGGCAGATGTCATAGCTGCTCTGACTGAAGTAGACGAATACTATTTAGCTTCTCTGTATTCGTGTAAGCATGAAGATGACCCAAAAGAAAGGGTCGAAACATGTAACGATACCACCAACAACGAAAAAAGAGCAAATGTTGACACAATACTGTCTATTTTGTTTATTTTTGATTATTTGTTGTTCAACTGTCCCAAATTATATCTTTTCGTAAATAACACGAAACAGGAT